GAGATCAGTTTGATATCATATTTTTATAAACTTATATATATATATATATATATATATAAATTAAATGTCTTACCGAACCGGGCGACAGGATTTCGATTCTGACGGCCGACAGCTTCCTACGGACAACTCCTCAACATTTAAGTGCCGACAATATTCTTGACTCAATATCCAATATTACTGATACAACAAGTACACTTACATGAGACCCCAGAGTGCGAGTGCGCTTAGAAAATCGGGTATTAGTATTTAAGCAAACTCAATGTTCAATTTACTCATGCCCTCGAAAGTAACTTTTTAATGTGATTTTAATTAAGGAATCAAGGTAAAGTTTATCACTTAAGTCTCACTAGACCCTCTTCTAATTTCTTTTCATTTTTTGAATTTTTATTGTACTAATCTCAAACTTTTTCTCGAAGATTTTTCACTTTTTTGTTTTTCTTTTTCTTTCCCTTTTATTTCTTCTTTCTCCTGAAAATTACTATATTTGATTGACAACCTTTTCTTTTTTAACTTTTTGAATGTAAGGAAATGTAATGTTTCTTAAGCTATACTATATATTCTTGCTATTCCACCTCTAATTTACCTCTTTTAGTTAAAACTTAAGATCACATTAATTTGGTTAACAAGAATTAAAAAGATCAAAGATATTTTTTGCTTGTTACTCAATATCTATGTCTCAATTTTTTAATATTTTATGATTTCTTTTAAGTAAACTCTAAAGGTATTAAGTTCTGAAACCATACTATTAACTTATTAAAGTAATCTTTTTTAATGACATTTTTTGGCTTTTAAAAATTCATGATACATAGTTTGAATTATTAGAAGTCTTAAGTAGAGTTTTACAAACTGAGGTTAAATCTTTTGTTGAGCTATGTGAACTACCTATCAGGTTCAAAATGAGGTAATGTTTCCCCCCCCTAAACTTATCATTTTTTTTCCAAAACATGTATAATTGAAAAGTAATAGTATATATAAAAAGTAGGACAGTGTTGGAGAAAAGGGTAAATGCATAGTCCACATGAATCTCAACAAGTGCAAATATCAAATGTAAATAAGAAAACACAGTGCAATAAGATTCTCAATATAGGGGTTACCACATTGCAGATAAACAATATTCAAAACTAATTTAGATAAAAATTTAAAGTCAATTTCAAAGAAAATTTCAAAGTAATATTTAAAACAAAATGTTGAATAAAAAAATATGATCAAAGCATTAGATAACACTTGGGTTGCCTCCCAAGATAGCGTTTAGTTTAACGTCCTCAACATGACAAAAAAGGATTCATCCAGGATCAAAATTTTAGTTTAGTAAACCCTGATTAATTGCCCAATATTTTGTTAATCCTGGAATTTCTATTAAAATCCTCAATTTTTAATTTTCTTGCAACTTTTTCTTCTACATTTAAAACAGTCATCCTGAGGGTGTGTAGCGGATCAATTTTGATTATCATTCCTAAATGTTCTTTCTAAATTCATAATTCTCCCAATTATTTTCCCAATTTGCATATCCGTGTTGCACTTACAGGTTGCAAGAAAGGGCTTCCTATAAGATAATTCAAGGTTTCCTAAATTTTGGAATGGGTTCTCCCTATGTTTTTCAGGTTCAAGGGTTAACTATACTAGGTCACTCTCTTTTCTTGTGTTGTTTTCAAACTTTTCCACTTGGAGCACTCCTATGATTGGTCCTACGGGCTGAACTATCTCCCTAGCTATGTTAGAGTTTGCCTTATAAAGAAGAGATGATTCTTCCTCAATCATCCTCTAACAAAAATTTTCCAACACAACTTGCTCTTCGGGATCTAAATCCTTTGATTCTAAAACTTGGCTATCAACTACTTTTACCATCCTATGGGACTTATTGCTTAAATATTATCAAAATGTACAGCTTGATTTTCTATGTTTCTATGGGCATCAGTTTGGCTTTGTAACCCTTTCCCCAAGTTTATCACTAATTCCTCCAAAACCTCATTTTCTTCAGGGTAATCACTATCCTAGTTTTTTCAACTTTCTACACGATCGACTTGGGGGCTCTCCCATTATTGATTGTCAACTCTAAGCTTATTTTTGTTCCAATTGAAGTTTGTATAGGTCGGCCAATTTTAGGTGTAGGTTTTTTTATTCATTTCTCAAATTTAATAACAATTCTTTCAATAATGGGTTATCCTCTCTAATTAGAGATTTTAGGGTGAATTACCAAGATTGAGCTTTGCAAATGTGGTCCCTATCCCAATTGTTCCAATTTTTTTATAGGGTTAGCTTGAGTTCTCCCCTAAACTTGGTTTTATACACTAATGTGACAAATGTTTCAATTAAAGTTTCGATAAGTAGTCTAGTTAAGGCTATAGGTATTGGAAGAGGGGTGGTCAAACATAGCTCCTATGTCAGGGGCATAAAGATTGCAAAGTTTTGCCATCAATGTGTTATTATATTCTTCCAAAGATATAAAATTATTTTCCTCAGTGTGTGCTGAAATATTTTTTTTTTTCAAAAAAATAAATAAATACAAGTACAACATAAAATAAAAAAACAAAATCAAGATAAATATAACAATGTATTTTTGGTTTTTTAAATTTTATTTTAGATTTTTATTTTTTAATCATTTTAATTTTTTTAACTCATGCAAAAAAATAATAAAAATACAGAGGTAATACAAAAAATACTAAATAAAATAAAAAAATAAAAAAATGTAAAACGTAGATCTTAAAATTTTTAATTAAAGTTTTTCTAGCACTAGAAACAATTATTGACGACGTTTCCGAACAACGACGCTAAAAACTTGAGTAGCTAAAACTTATTGGGACGTAAGTCAACCATATAACCCAAGTGCACGTGTCAACTGATAATGCAGTTCAAGAGTACAATTTGTAGATCCCACAGAGAAAGTGTAATACGTTCTTCCAAAAAAAAACTCTAGTTTACTAATTCAGTTAACCTAGCTTGGAGATTATCAAAAGAAGGTTTTAAGTGTTAAGGTTCTAGCAAAATTGAATACTTAATAGTAAGGGAAAGTAGAAAATAAGAGGAAAGATTAATGAGTTTCTTCAAGACGGATGAGGCTCATGCCTCTGTGATTCAGGGATAGTGATGATCGTGGTTTTTCTAAATATTTTTTTCTATATAATTGTTGTCAAACAGAGACAAGATACTCCTTATGCTTATTTCTAGGTCAAAAGAAGTCTAGAATCCATAAAGTTGAGGCTTTCTCAATCCCCATGTCATTCCACATGAATTTTTTGATCCCTTGGCATTACTACAGAATTCAACTTGAATATGTTTGTTCTCTCAGAATTTTGTTATTAACTTTTTGTTTACACTACACAGCTTTTAGAGGTTGTAGTTTCACAAAATATTTTAACTTTTTGGTTAGCTAGACTAGGAGTAAATGAAGATCAAAGGTTAACCAACAACATAGGTCTAAAAAGCTCAAGAAAATATTTAAGAAAAAAATATTATGGAAAACTAATGATAAATCCACAACTCCCAACATCATAGAGATACAAAGTAAAGCATAGCTACTCATTCCAGAGGAGGTTTGTTGACCTATTTTTTAGTTGAGGTTTAGTTTTTCCTCTTTAGTAGCCTAGGGTTTATCCATAGGACTTTCCTGTTGACTATTCCTAGAGAACTAAAAAAGGAACCCTCATCATTAGAAACTCTAAACTCTTCTGTAATGAACTTGAAGTTCCAAATATTGGTCATAACCTCTAGCACTTAGTAGGTGGGGTCAATATGGGAGAGCTCAAGATGAGTCCCCATGAGACTGCTTGACTTAAGGGCTGACCCTGGGTGTTGGTATGAAGCTGTTCACTCACTTGCACTCACTGTCACTCACTTTCTCCCCCATTCACTCACAACCCCAAACCCAAGCTTGTTGACTTTCATCCATTGATCCTTTGGGAGACTCATGTAGATGGTCTCCTAGACCCTCTAGCCCTAGGTTGGGACAACTAGCACCAGTACATAGAGGACCCAAATTGAGATTTCGTTGGTCCGTGGCTCAAATCAGGATGGTTGGCACCTCAATCTCATCAACTACCCAATTCAGCCTTTTGTCCCCGAAAAGAATTTGGACCCTTCAATTGACCTCAATTTGATCTTAATTTGCCCCCATTTGAATCCTAAACTCTTGATAATGATCCTACACATTAAATTGGACCTTTAATTGGCCTTGGTCAAGCCTCAGCTTAATTCAGTTTCCGCCCACATTCAAAATCTCCAAATTGGCTATGTCCCCAAATTCCACCAAATTGAATGCTCAAATCCCAAAATGACACCCAATTTATGTTGAAAACTCTTTGTGAAATTCCTCTAGACCATTTTGAACCAATTTGAACCTAACCCAACCTTAGCCCAACCTAAACCCAAGTCTAACCTAACACCCCCAAATTGACTAGGTGACCAAAATCTACCAAATTGACTCTCCTATCAACTCAAAATGACTTCAAATTTTTTCTAGACTTCTCATGACAGCCACCTAAACCATTCTAATCAATTGAGCTCGAACTAAAATTTTGATGGAAGTCAAATTTGATACGTTTTCTGACCCGATCATCGACGAGGTTGTCCAAATAATCTCAGATGACAAAACGGACTGAGCCGACGCGTCTGAAACATTGATCTTGCCCAAGGGAGATGTTCATTTTATGATGATGGAGTGTCTGAGAGAAAATGCACAAAATAAATTATATAATAATAATAATATTATTATTGTTACTATTATTATTATATAAATTTTTTTCCCTCTTCCTAAAATCCTAAATCCCTAGGTCTATCTCTCGCTCGGTCTGCCACTCCCCCTCTCCCATCCGCACGCCCGACCGAACCCTTCTCTCTCCCTCATCTCCTTCGTGGCACGGCAGGCACCCATCCTTTATCCCTTATCGCGATCTCCTACTCCGCTCGGCTCTTCAAGCCGCACGCAATGGGGAGATCTCTCCCCGTGGGGGCGCGTGGGGTTGGCTATCCAAAATTATCGGAGAAGGGGGAGGTGCTGTCAAATTGCTTATAGAGCTTCTCTTGTTCTTTTTGTGTGCTCTACGCCAAGTGGTAACCTCTTCCCTTTTTCTCTTATTAAGCCATTTAACGTGGTGTTTCCCTTTCATGCTGAAATTCTTTCTAACGCCTTTATTTGGATGATTGAGAGTCAAAAAGAAAAAGAAAATTGAGGTTTTTAATCCTAAGTTGGTGGATTTATAATTGCATGCTAGGTGTTTGTTGAAATGGTGCAGGGAAATTTAGTTCGTCATATTTGCATCAAAGTTAGTGGTTTATGCTCCTTATGCAAATCCACATTTTTAAAATCTGAAATTTTGGTGTCTTATTCATGAAAATCTGAAGCTATTGGGCGCTCTATTTGCAAAATCTAAAATTATTGGGATATTTATTTTTCAAAATCTGAAACTTGGGTGCTCTCTTTGAAGAATCTGAAATTATTTGGGGGCTTTGTATTGTTCCCTACTGTCGCCCTCTTATTTTGGAACATGTGCAAATGATAATATTTACTGTTGAGGGTTGCTAAAACTCTTACTTCAGGGCTTAGTTTTGTTTCTCTGCTTCCTGTTATTCTCTTGTTCAAACTGTATGTAGGAGGCTATGTTTATTCTTCTCCTCTGTTGAAGCTAAAAAAAAAAAAAGAGAAAAAAAGAATATATGCATGTTTGGGGGTTCAATTTGGTTCCCCATGGCTGCCTTCCTTTGCTCGAGTTGCATGTTATACCTTGGTGAATACCTTATGGCTTGCTGATTTGGTTTTCTTCTTGTATGCTTTTCATCATTCGGAGCTTTATAGCTTGACGACATGGTTCAAAGAAGCTTTCGTTACATGTTATACATTATTTGAAAGCTATGGAGTTTGTAGAAATCCAAAATTTTAATGCTTTTGTTTATGAAAAATCTGGAATTCAAAAAAAGAAATGTGTTTAGAAGTGGTTTTATAAAAATCTGAAGTTTTCGGTGTTCAATTCGTGAAATTCTGAAGCCGTTAGTGTTCGATTTGAAAAATCTGAAATTTTGGGTCTTGTATTTGTTAAAGTTTGAAAATCTTGGTTTGCTCATTTGTAAAAGTCTGAAAACTAGGAGTTAAATATGTGAATACATGAAAGTTGGGTGCCATGTTTGTAAGTGAAACTTTTATTTTTGGTAAAATTGTAATAATAAAAAAAATCTGAAAGTTTAGGAGGTCTTGATTTGTAGCATAAGGTTCCTATGTATTTTCATATCTCTCATGCAAGCTACTATATTTACATACACATGGCTTTGAAGCTTTTTGAACCCATGCATGAATATGTCTATTTCACTAAGAAGAAAGAGAAGAATTCACATATAGGCCACCTAGCTCTTATGTATTTGCATAGCTAACATTGACATTTTGAAGGATGAGGAATTGGATGGCACGTATGAATGTCTGTGTTGGGGCTCTTAACCATCTTGTTTTATGGAAGTATGGAAATTCATATGTGTATTCGTTTTATGGAAATCATGAGAATTGATTTGTTGTTTTCATAATTTCAAGATGAGATTTCTACGATTCATCTAAATAAAAAATTTCTGGATTTAGTGTCTGGCTTTGGCTTCGTGATGGCTTATTTTTTTTAGCTATGTGCCGGCTCGATTTAGCCTTGTGACAGCCGATTTTGCCCTGTTTGGATGGCTCGATTTGGCCTTGTGACGACCGGTTTTGCCCTATGCTGGCCACGGTTTTGCCTGGTGAAGGGCTCGGTTTTTTGGCTTGTATGGGTCCTATTTTGGTGAGATAAGTGGCTTTTTTTTTGGCTTTATAGTGGCCTGGATCTGGGCCTTATGCTGGCTTTGGTTTTGCCTTGCAACGGCTCGGTTTTGCCTTGAAATAGCTCGGTTTCAGTGGTATTGAGCCCAATTTTAATGAAACGTATGTCTTGGTTTGGGGTTTGAAGTTTGGCGTTGCCCCTCCGACAGGCCCTAGCAGTGAGCCCTTTGTCTGTTGTGGCTCCTTGGTTTGTGCAGCGGTTTGATAGCTTCTCTTATTGCTCTTATCCAAGAGCCCTATTTGTGTCTGTGGACCCCTTTGTGCACTCGTTTGGTGGTTGCTTCGCTGTTCCTACCCGTGATCCTGTAGAATTTGGGTTGGGTTTGATTTGTTACCCCTCTTTGTTGCCCTTGGCCGTAAGCATTTATATGGATTTCTTGTGTGGTGTCGGGTTCATTTTTCATTGGAAACTTTTGGTTTGAAGTGGAATTGAGTGGCCTTAATATTTCCAAGGTGAGATATTTCAATTACTTGTTACTTGAAGAAATTTGAATGCCCCTTTCGAGGAATAATTTGTCAGATGTTCGGAAGTGTGGTTTGGGGCCCAATTTTGCGGGCCGAGTTGATTGCGATATAAAATAAAATGAAAAAGAGAAAGAGTAGAGGAAGAATCTTTTGATATTTGGGGAAAATTCGAGAATAGTTTGGAGATTTCAAAAATGTGTCTTTTGGGGATGTCTCTTAACTAGTGTGTGTGAGTGTGCTCTATTTCTTTGCCCATTCGAGAAAGTCTCGTTAGTCGGATGTTTTAGGCTAACCCTTCTGTCGCCTTGGCTTTTCTTTTATAAATTTGTTTTGGAGGTGCATTAGTCTCCTTTCTTTTTCATTTCTTTCTTTTTTGTTTTTTTTCCTTGCTTCTTGGTTCGAGTTTAGGTGCTTATGTCCGATACATAAGTGTGACATAAGTGTGCATGTATACCCTTTTGCTATATGTGAAACCATCAAGCATGGTCGCAAGTAGGTCGATTTTGTTTTGGGGCTTAGGGCAGTGATGACAAAGACACACCGGTGGTAGAGCAGAATGATATTCCATCCTAAGACATCAGGACCCAATCCTAGGGCTTGATGAACCATAGGATGATAGTATCATTCACTAACATGAGACTAGCGGGGGACCCGTACCTTTGGCGGTCCTACGCTTGATGGCGTGATCGACTCGTAGACAATTATAATTCTCAAAACTAATAAGAACAGACTTGATAAGAACAGATAAAATATTAAAAAAAAATTTACCATAAAATTGATACAACTTCCTTTTGTATGTCTGAAATCCATTTGCATACTAAAATATAAATTTTAATATTCCATCCTACGACATCATGACCCAATCCTGGGGTCTGATGAATTATAAGATGATAGTATCATTCACTGACACAAGATTAGCTGGGGACCCGCACCTTCTTAGGTTGTTGGCGGTTATACGTCTGACGGCGTGATCGACGGACCCGCACCTTCTTAGGTTGTTGGCGGTTATACGCCTGACCGTGATCGACTCGTGGACAATTATAATTTTCAAAATTGATAAGAACAGACTTGATAAAAAAAGATAAAATATTTAAAAAAAAAATTTACTATAAAATTGATACAACTTCCTTTTGTATGCCTGAAATCCACGTGCATGCTAAAATATAAATTTTAAATATATTGTAACTTGGTTGTCCACTTGTTGATTACCAGTACCGGGCTAAGAAGCACCCTCTTAAGTTAGGTTTAGTAGGACACCCTTCTAGTTGAGTGACAGACTCTATACATCCGAGTGACCGATAGTAACCTTCGACATCCCTCGAGTACAAATATATAATATTTGAGCCTAGCCCCGACCCGAGTGCTTGCAGTTTTCTTTCTCCCGATTTTTCGTGTGATTTTATTAGAATTTTTGGTAAAGCACTCATGGTTTTTTTCCGGGATCTTCCCGTGTTTTCGGTGAATTTCTTTAAGTCACCATTTGGTGTTGTTGCTTCGAGATTTCCATTGTGAGTCATTTGTCGATTTTGTCGAGTTTTCTTTCGTCGTGAGTCATTTGCCGCTTTCTTGAGTCTTCCAGGTGGTAGTTCTTTTGTTGATACAATGCATGCTAGCTATTTTAAATCCTGTCATTATACTTGTACCTGTTATTGTTTCTCTTACACACTATACCTTAGAATAGGAGGTCAGTAGTTGGTTTCATAGGAGGTACTCGACAACAGATTTTGACTCAACAATTGCATGTACGCAAAGAAATAACATCGAACTCGAAGGTGCTATGACGAGGAGCTTGGAGCTAGCATTGTGGGCAGCATGACTATCTTCAACAGCAGAACATGCCTACACCAACTAAATCATTCCTTAGAAATTAAACAACAATCCATAAGATTTCGAGGTCATCCGCCTAGTGTGACATAAATCCTCAATCTTATCTTTAGGCTTTTATATAGCTCTGCTACACAATATAAGCCCTAACTCGTTTTAGTATTCCGAGGTTGTCGTTCGTCACGATCTAAATCCTCACATTTTCTAGGTTATTTATGTGATGGTTTCACGCTAATGTAAGCTCTAATTAAATAAAATTGACAGGATAAAACGCTTAAATATTCTTAAATATTTCTCCAGTAAAACCATAGGGTAGACTGGGAAGTCCCAGAGGGTAGACTGGGAAGTCCCCGAGGTTCTCCTTCGGATCTGTGACATCCTCTAGTTCATCTTCCTTTGGATTCTACAATAAATATTACAAATTTGAGTCATTCCCCTTTCACACATCTTTGTCCGATTTTGTCGAAAAGTCCTTTTCTTTTGACCTCTTTGAAGATAATATTTTCTGATTTTTATCAAGTGTTTTCTTAGGTGACTTCGGTTATCTAAGATGTAATTAACTATAGGGGCTTACCTTTTTAGGAAGCTTTTCTGAACCCAGATTAATATAAACCTTATTTAATTCTTTATATTAAATATGAGAACTTATTATTAAATAAAATTATTTCGCAGACCAAATGGATGTCATATATTTCTTAGTTTATTTGATCGAGTCTCATCCTCAAGGCTCGTGTTTATCTTTTGGGATAGATACAAGGTTTGAGGTATAGTGCTCTTTTATTAAACTATGAAAAATATAGAATCAGGTTGATTTCATATTTTTCTAAAATTATATATCAAAAATACCGCCGACAAACTCATAACAAAAAATACCACTTGAATTTCCATTAAAAGCAACATAAAGATGAAAAAAATATAAGAATTTTTTTTTCCAGATGAAGTCAGCAACTTTCCCTCTTATACAAAATCTCGCACAACTCACAAAGTAAATAAAAACTCTCACTTCAAGACCATCTAGAAGCTAAAGGAGAGCTGAATCCAATAATTGGGAGGTGGTTCGACCGCAGCTCATGTTCTTTCTGTTTACGACCTATGGAGGGAAATTGTCAGTGGTAAGAAAAATGACAAGGTTTACTGGTTAGTGTCTCAGGTGCCAATCTATAATGCTCGTCTCTCGAGCTCATCTAGTGCATCGACTTCTACTGGATTGAAAGTGGAGCTTCATAAGCATGTTGCTACTAAGGTTGTTGCTCAGTCTTCACCCAACTAGCCACCCTAAGATTAGAGATGGAGCTAAAGTTGAAGACAAATTTTAATGCGATACTACGTCATGCATTGCAGGGATTAAAAGAGCCAGCTCAAGATGATGTTGATGGGGATGATGATGATAAGAAGATGGAGGAGAATGAGTGGGGAGTGTTTTTTTGTTTGTTTATCTAAAAAAAATTATTCGAACGAATAATAAGTTATTTATAAGCAATTGTTCTTTCGGTTGGTTTAATGCAGTCATTTGTTTTTTATTTATGTCAATGATTTATGTGTTAATTACTAATATAATATTAGTTTAATAACGGCTTTAATTAGTACACTGTGCTGTGTGGAAATTATAGTCTTATGATTATAGGTGCATAAATTTTAGTGTTATAGAAGGAGATTTATTTTTTTCTGATGGTATAGTTTTTTGACGACATACCAACAGCTTTGTGATCGATTGGATGAGTTTCGATGATCGTTCGATTGACTATCGAATAAGTAACTTATTTCTAAGATTCTATACTTTTCCAACAACTAAGGCTATCGATAATTATGGGCAATCAACCGATGGTCGTGCGACACTTTTCCAACTGATATGTGTCATTTCTTGGGACAAAAGAGCTATAATTTTTTGTGGTCTAAGGGCATCAGTTATCTTACCAATGGATATTGACAACATAAAAACATTGCTTATTTGCACCAACACCAGTTTAAAAAAACCGTAGCTAATTTCGTCGGTAAATGAATTACCGACAAATGTTTTTCTCTAATGTCAAATAAACTGGAAAAAATAACATTACCAATGATTTTTAAATAATCTCTGACTGTATTAGGCCATCAGAAATAAGCTAAATTCTTGTAGTGCCAATCGTCAGAGCTAAAAGCTATGAAAAAACGTAAAAAGTTCGGATAAGGCCAGGACACACAATTAAAATTTTAAGACATCGACGTCATATTTGCATCTGAATATTTTGACACATGTTAAATAACATGAGAAATATCATCTAACCGATCAATGTTGTTAAGTAAATATATTTCATTGAAAATTCAAAGCAAAATTTGTTGGAAAATTTGACATAAAAATTTTGCGTCGACGAATCGACGACACTGAAGTTGATATAAACAATTTGCATCAACGATTTTCAATGCACAAGTCATTCCTAATCTCTTATGACAAAAAATGAGCGCAATTCTGATGCTAAATTCTCTGTCAAAAATTTATAATGTTATAGCAACTGCTAATCAGATAATTTGTTCAAGTGATAGCTATAGCCCATCGCTGGCCAACCTCCATTGCTGCCCTGTCATTCTGGTTACTACTACCGACATACATAATACTTTGAAACTAGGAGTGTCAAATCGGATCAACGAGTTGGGTTTGCAATCGACCTAAAAATGACCTGAATCGAATAGTGTCAACCTGAACCCGACCCGAATAATAAACGAGTCGAAAATTACGACCCAAACTCAATCTAAACCCGAGCTTGACCCACTAACCTAAACTACCATGCTTATTTGGCGATTATCGGGTTCAACCCAAACTCGACACAAATAATAAACGGGTTGAATTCTCTGACCCGAGCCCTACTCGAAAAATATTGGGGTCAACCCTAACCCCTGACTTTTTGAGTTGTATTAGCATGTCAGGTCAATTTTTGACACCCCTATTTGAAACCAAATCAAAAAAATGAAATCATTTATTTATTGTATGCCAAATTAAACAACTCCAAAATATTTTAAATGCAATATATTACTCTTATATTGTATTCATTTTAGATTGCACTACTTTATCAAAAAACCAATTAGCCCAAACCAAATAACTCCATTTAAAGTATTTTAAATGCATTCTATTTCAATTCCCCAAATTTAAACTATTACTAACACATTGTTTGGCTGCAAATAAAATGTGAACATTGCATTCTAAATGCAGGAGTTATGAAAATTTAGGTGTTTGATTTTAAGAAAAATTGAAAGTAGTGTAAACTTGCAATAAATTTTATTTGCAGTCATTAGTATATTCCCAATATTCTAAAATTTTGAAATGTGAATGATTTCTAAGAACATTACGATGCCCAGCATCGGTTGCTTGTCGCTTGGAGTCGTTAACCGGGCTGATGTTCACCACCTATTGTCCGCTGCTCGTTGTTGTCACCTCTACCCGTCTGTCATTGTTATTTTTAGTAGCCTCTATTGCTTGATGTTGGTTGAAGACTGTGGTTGTTATTTTTATATCAATTGTTTTTTTCTAATAAAAAAAAAAAAACCAAAAAATATAAACTCATATATTTACTTTACACCAAATCAAATAGCTTCAAATTAGTATAAATAATTATATTTCAATTACATTGCATTCCTTTTTCAACGGGTCAAAGTACCTCTTCATTTCCATTTCAAACAAACCAAATAGCTTGAATCATGTATTTACGTATGTATGTATGTAGGTTGTATATATGCGTTTAGAGGTTTATTTTGTATTTGTTATGTATCTGTATATGTATATATGTGTATGTTTGTGTATATATGTGCATATGTATATATGTGTGCATAGGTTTACATGTGTATATGCATATATATGTTTGTGTGTGTATTTATATGTATGTGTGTGCGCGTATCTGTCGGCACATGCACGTTTGTGTGTGGGTGTATACACAGACATATATATATATATATATATATATATATATATA